GAGGAAGAAGCAGGCTCCCTACTGAGCAGGGAGCCCATCGAGGGGCTCCATCCCAGGACTCCAGAGCTCAAGGCAGACTCTTAACCAACTGAGCCACCCGGTCGCCCCATTTTATAAGAAAATCAAATAAGAAGCCACTATACTGACTTCACCACCATTCTGGAAGGCACCACTGAAACCCCTAGTTACAGATATTTATTTTTCAGAGAGCTTATTAGGACTTTCTTACAGAAAATAGTTACTTGAGTAAGGAAACCATCGTGTTTGCAAAAGAAATGGAATGGTAAATGCAGATGATCTTGGTTGCAGCCCTGGGAACAGCAGCTATTCCCCTCCCCCCACCCCAGGAAGTGGGGGTGGCCTCACTGATACCCCAGAGCCTAATGTGGGGTGTCTTTGCAGGCGTGGCCCACCCCTGGGGACGCCCACCTCCCCCCGGCCCGTGTTCTGCACAGTGCGAGTGAGGGCCTGGCGCCCGCCTCAGCCCTCCCAAGCCCGGGTACCAGCAGAGGAACGGATGGGGGAGCAGAAGGCTGGCTGAGGACCAAGCTCCAGCGGACCCCCAGCAGCCTCTCCCTCCCCCATTCCTGGGTGTGACCTGTGGGACCTTCCCCAGGAAGCTGCCATCTCTCTAGCAGTTAAGGCCTAGCTAGAGGGAAAAAAGCAGCTTTAACTTGACAATGGCAAGGCCTCGGGTATCCTGGGAGCCCTCTTTAGCATATGAAGGCTCATTGGAAAATCTCCCTTTTTCCCTACCCGCAAGCCCCAAGTACAGAATCAGATCCCCCCACCCCCCAACACTGGGACAGCAGCTCCTTCTGCCCACGGTCCTGCCCCTGGGCTTTACTAAGACCAGCATTTTGCATCAAAGACCTCCCAAGAATTCTTACTTGGCCGTGGGCTCTGAATCCCACCCCACTGAACCTCACCTATATTCCAAAAACCACATCACGCCTGAGGGCAGGAAAGCACTCAGCCAGGACCTGTGCCCGTGGGGAAGTTAGGGGGACCACGGGCTGCACGGTGGCCGCACAGGGGGCTGAAGGGACCCACCTCCCCCAGAAAGGGGCCTCCAAGCTCAGCCCCGACAGCACCCAGCTGGGAACTGGGCGTGCCCAGGTGCCACCAAGTTTGGGGGAGCAGGACCCCCAGGAACTGAAGTTGGTGGTCACCGCGCGGTGACGATGGCCTTTGGGCACACTCACTCACGCCCGACCGCGAACTGCCATGTTGAGAAACATAAAACCAAAATCTTGGGCTGACCCAGAAAACCGCTCCCCGGAGCATCGCCTGACAGAGCAGGGGGAGCTCGGGCCACCCGCAGCCTTGGGCACGGCAGGGGCAGCCCCGGTCTGGGCGTCCAGACAGACAGCTGGGCCCGGGAGAGCCGCTGGCAGCCGGGTCACCTGTTCAAGAGACAGAAATGCTTCTCAAGGGGCAGCGCGGAACTCGCCAGGACCAGATCTCTCCAGCGCGCGCCCCGAGAGGGGGGGGGGCATGCCCCTCCCTGCAGGGACCACGGGGAGTCCGCAGACGGCCTGTGGCCTCTGGTTGGGGTCTCCCGGCGTCCCCTGGTACCTGCAGTTCACCCACTCCCCACGCATGCAGTCCTCGGGGCCTTGCTGCCTGCCCTCCAAGCCCCAGCCCCAGCCCGTCTAGTGTCCCCTTCCTCCCAGGATTCCTCTGCCTTTGTCTTCCTCACTCCACCCCTCCAGGGGCCCCCCCCACTCCCACCTGCCCCAGACCAGGACAGCTCTTGGCCCGAGCGGACCCTCCAGCTGTCCGTGCGTCTCTGGGTGGACGCTGGTCAGTGCTCCCGCAGGGCTCTGGACGCCCGTAGGTGGGGAGGCGTTTTGATGTAGTTTGGGAAGGTAGGGGAGCTTCGCTGGGGTGGGTCTGGAACCCAGGACCAAGAAAGAATTCTTGAGACGTCTTTGGTGCAAAAGGGTGGTTTTATTAAAGCCCAGGGGTGGGACCCGTGGGCAGGAGCTGCTGTGCCTGGGCTGTGAGGGGTGGGAGTGGAGAGAGGTAAGGACAAGCGAGGTTTCAGAAGGATTTTCGCGTGTGTAAGAGCACTCCGACCAGAGCCCTTGCCATTGTCAAGTTAAAGTTGTTTTTCCCCCTAGCGAGGCATGACCAGTAAGACGCCAGGAGCTTCAGGAGGAAGGTCGCAGGGTTTGGGGAGGGGGCTGCGGGCTGTCAGCTTCCGCTTTGTCTTCAGCCTGGCTTCTGCTCCGTCATGGGGGGGGGCGGGGGCGCTTCACAAATCTGCCCCACCCCACCCTCTCCCGGCCCCACCTCCAGCTTTGGAAATGCCAGGCACCTCATTCAGAAAGGGTAGGCTCTGGCCAGGCCCCCAAGACCTTGAGCACCTTTGAGTGCACCTTGAGCACCATTGTTTCTACGGCTCTCTCTCGGGTTCAGACGGAGATTTTATCTCCTCACTAGGAAGCCTCCTCTCCTGTCCGTGGCAGGGGAATGGCCGAGGAGGCTGGGGAGGTCTTCAGTCTCCAGTTCTGGGTGTGCTGGGGCCGACCCCTCCCCATGCGGGGCACCCAGGGCTTTGACCTGCAACCTTCCAGGCCAAAGGAGCCCACTGTCTCGGTGCCCCTCACCTTCCCTTCACTGCTCAGGCTGGGCCAGGCCCTACAGGCACAGGACAGCGGAGGGTCACCGGGACCTCGTTCTCCCCTGAAGCCCAGCCATGAGGCCCTGCCCGCATTGTGTCCCTTCCCTGAACACACATGACACACACAGAGCACGCGCACAACCCCACTCACATGCGCACACCACATAGACACGTGCTCCCTGCTCCCTGGACACCTTGCACACCGGGGCGGGGGGCATCTTGCCAAGTATGACCAGAAGCTGGGCGGGGGGCAAGTGAGGCCGCTCACCCACTGCACAGAAAGGGGCGTGTCCAAGGGGCACGTGTCCTAACTGCGCAGTAGGACTGGGCAGGACGGACGCTGAACCCACACAGACAGAAAGACCCACTTTGATTCAAGTCAAGCAGCTTTTGGAGGCTACTGTTCTCCAAGCCCGTGCCCACGGGCCTCCCTCAGAGGAGGTGGGGTGGGGACAATGGGGTCGGATCTGGGACCTCACTTCCGGTGGCACCTGGAGGCCCCCCGGGCATTTCCAGTCCACTAACAGGGAGGTGAACCTTAGGAAGCGTGGACTGTCCAGAGCAGGAATAGTCAGGATTAATTAGGATCTTAGCACGAGGTGGAGGGAAACACCTAGAAGTCTGCCACGGGCACTGCCCGCCAGGAGTGGCTGGGAAAGCTGCAGGAGCCGGCCCCGGGGAGGGCCGCGGGCGGGTACCACTCCTAGGACTGGGCTCTGGACCCAAGCGAAGCCCCGTGGGCGCCGCGGGGATCTGTGAGTTGGCCTCACGGCGGTTTCCTGTTTCCAACCCTGGTTATGTAAGGGGTCAACATCGGTGCGTGGACTGAAGGGATATAGGAACTCTGTGCTATTTCTGAAACTTCTTTGTGAGTGAGAACCTATTTCAGAATGAAAAGCTGAAACGTTTTTAGCTCGGTGAGAGCTAAGAATGGGGGTCGCTGGTCATTCCCCCCCCCAACTCCCCACCTCCCGTGGCCTCATGGGGTGTGCTGGGGGGTGCTGTCCGGGCAGCAGATCAGAGAAAGGTGAGCTCTGCCCCAGACCCTGTGGCGTCAGGGCTGGTGTGTCAGGGAGAACACATTTCCGATGGATCCAGACACAAATTGAAAATGGAGAACTTGGCAATTTTAAGAAAAAACACAAGAAAAGTTCTTCATATATTAACAGAAAATATTTTTAGGTAACCCACTAATGCATTTAAGGATAGTAACAGTGAAAAAAGTTTGCCTGTTATCAGGATACAGCGATCAAGAAGGAAAGACCAGTTTCCTTCAGGAATGGGCACCACTTACCGGGATGGATGCACAAAGAAGCCCACGGAGATGGTGTCATGGTGAGCGTGCGGGCCGGTGGCTCTGGCTACTGTCTATGCTGCTGTGGGGGGACAGAACCCAGCTGTGTTCCCTGGGCCTGTGCCGGCGCCTGTGGGGGGCCCTGCTCGGCACAGGGTGCCTTCACCAGAGCAGGCTAGAGGATGTGGGCCCTTGCCCAAGGTCACCGGGGGGGTGTAGGGTGAGGTCAGGAGGTGTAGGATGGACGTGGTTCTTCAAACTCCTCTGCTCACAAACACCCCGGTGCCCCCCTCAACGCACCCTCACTCCAGAGCTTTCCCCCACTGCATGGCACTGTCGGTTGGTTGCTCTAGGGGTGTAGAGTCAGGGTGTGTGGGTTGTGGCCAGCACCGTGGTGGGGGCGAGTTGGGAGATGCTGGGAGGAGGGGTGATGTGGGAAGACGCTTCGGATTTCCAGACCTCAGAGGCCTCAGGACCTGTCCCTGTGGGGCTGGTGTCCCCTTCCCCAGCCCCTGTATTTCCTCCAGCACCCTCAGCCTGGGGGGGGCAGGGCACACCCTTGTTGTCTCTTGGTCCACTCCGTGGAGGCACAGAGGGCACATGTGGGCAGGGCGACACTTCTGGTTCCTTGTCTTTGGCTGAGACTGGCAGTAACTTCCCCTGCCTCAGTTTCCCTGGTCGTGAAGGGAAGGCCCTGCAGACCTGACCCTGACAATCCCGGGAGTTCCCAGAGACACACTCAGGGTTTGCTGGACCGGGCAGAGAACAGCAGAGAACAGGAGGGTGCAGAAAGGTTTATTTTTTCCTGGCACGGGCTGTCACACTGGGGGCAGGACCCCGGGGAGGGCCTGCGGGCTTTGCTCTCCTAGAGGCCCCTCCGGTCAGGGCGTGGCCCTCTCTGCATCTTGGGCCAATAGTTGGTTGATAGTGTTTGCAAAATTGGATAGGCTTGTGGGCATAGCAGGGCACTGCGGGCCTGAGCCTAGGGCTGGGCAGGGGGCGCTGGGCAGGGGGGCTGGGCAGGGGGTCGGAGGTTTGTAGGGTCTGTGCTCTGGGTGCGTGCGTGTGCCGGCTGCATGAGACTCTGTTCGGAACGGGGTCCCCCTTTTTGTGCTGGAGAGTCAGGGCTGGTCACAGCAGGGCCCAGAGCAAGACGGGCCCTAGGCTGAGCAGGAGCCCCCCGCCAGGGCCAAGGAGCCCTGGCCCCCCGTTACACAGGTCCTTTTCACAGCACACCAGACCCTGCGATTCAAACTTAGGTTGGCCCTGCAGGCCTGCAGGGTCCAGGACATCCAGGGGGCTCATCTCGGAGAGCTGCTGCATTACCCTGGAAACTTCGTTGCAGGAGGGGGCGCACCCCTTCTGCTGGTATTTCAGCTGCTTTCCTGTGGGCAAGGAGGGAGGAGCCTGGTGTGAGAAGCTCCATGCCCCTCTCAGCCTCCTCGACGCAACCCTGGTCACCGTCTCCCCTCCCGGGGGAGCACTTGGTCCTCTGTCCTGCTGCTGGAGTCCCATCCCGCCCCATCCCCAAGGAGGCCTCTGGAGGCCAGCCCATCTCCATGCAGATGGGGATGTTGAGGCAGGCGGGAGTGTGGCCACTGCCAAGCCCACACTCCTCCGAGGGGCTGGGGAGATGCAGCGCAGAGCTCCCTGGGCTGCCCCCACCCGCTGCGGCCTGGGGACTCACCATCTCCCGTGGTCAAGGTCATGTCGCTGCTGTAGCAGACGCCCTGCATCAGACACTGGAGGGGCTGGCAGGGACCGCTGTTCTCTATATCACTGCAGGTGTAGCACTGAAGGCTCAGGGCTGGCCCGGCGGGGGCAGGGAGGACGCGGTGAGACCTCTTCAGTCCTGAACCTCGGCCCCTTCCCACCCTCTGGGGGCCTGGCGGGCAGACCCCTCCCATACCCACACACGGCCTCGCACAGGGGACGGCCAGCCATGCCCAGCAGCACAGACCCTGGCCTGGTGCCCCGCTGCTCACCATGCTCCCAGCACAGCAGGACGGCCAGCAGGAAGAGGTGGAGGCCTGTCATGGCTCCTGGAGGTGACAAGATGTGCGTCGGCTCCTGCTGGGGGAGGGGGACAGGCTCAGGCTGCTGCCTCCCCTCCCCAGACCCTGGCCCTCCATGGCTGAGCCCTCGCCAGCCCAGTTCCCTCCTGCCTCACTCACCCGCAGGCGTCAGGTCCCCGTCCGTCGGCTGGCACTGGAGCCATTTATCCCTCTGCTAAGAAGTCGTCCCCCAGCATCCTGTGCCCCATCAAGAGGAAGTTGGGGCTGGAATCTCTTGTCTCCACCCTTTCCGGAGTAGCTATCACACCCGACCTGAGTCCCAGGCCAGGACGGGGTCTCACCTAGCTGACCAGCAGTGGCTTCGGGGAAATTCCAGGAGGAAGCTGGCCCATCTCTGTTTCTGGCCTCACCTTCAGGGGTCTCTCGGAGGCCGTGGGGCCCTCCCCAGCTGTACCCCTGAGACCTCTCTGTCTCTCTTCCACTCCTGGCCCCCAGTCCCCAGTCCCATAAGCCTGTCCTGTCCTCCGTGCACTCTCCCCAAAAAGTGCGCCTCACAAGTCACAGAAGCAGAAACAAATTTTTTTTAACGTTAAACACATCGTTGTTGGTTTTTTCTCGTTTTTCTGCTGCATTTGGTGTTCGTGTAGTAACGGGTGCTGAGAGGCTCACTGCCTTGGGATCTCTGTCCTTACACACTTGTTCTTTGGTTGAGTTTATAGTGTTGATGATCTTAGCCATCCAGGGATGCAACAGCAGCTTATCTGAGGCCCGAACTCAAACCGAGTGAAGAGGCGCGCTCGTGTGAGACTGGAGGCTGACCCCTCGGGAGACACAGCCGTTTTGACGAGACTCACGATATCAAACTAGTCTTATTCACCGAAGATTTGCCCAAATCACATAAACTTGAATGGTACTTGGTTAATTTCTCTATTGACAAGAGCGTTAGGGATAGTTTGTTTCGGTGGAAGCAAATTACAACAGAAGAGTTTTGTCCACGGGATTTTATAACTGAATTCAGAGGCAGGAGAATGTCACAAGGTGACAGAGGTGACAAGGTGCAAACGGTCGTGGTGCAGCTCTATCCGAAATTCTAGCCACGAGCCAGGCAGAAGCCCAGTGAGACAAAATTCTCTGGTTTATATGAAAGAGTTGGCTCTCCTCTTTGCCCCACTTTCTGTTTTTACCTGAATTGTGCTTCTGCTGATGAGACAATTTGAGATCTTCTGACTCACACGAGGGAGAATGCTTCTCATCCAGGTTGATGGAAGAGACCTCAAGATTTTCTCCAGCCCGACGTGCAGTCTTACGGGGGCAGCGGACTACGTTTCGGTTGGGGTGCTGAGGGCCGGCCTCCTCTGAGTGGCTGAAACAAGGTTTCCAATGAGCCTCCCAGCTTGAGGGGTCTGCTGGTAGGGTCCCTGCGTCCCTGAGAGCCCCCAGTGATGGCAGGCAGCTTTGGGCTTGAGTGGCCACAGGGGCGGAGAGGAGGGTGGAGTGGTGGGGAGAGGAGGTTGGGGTTTGAAGGACACTCAAGGACAGGCAGGGGAGCCGGCGGTGGTAAAGCTTGGGAACAGAGAGGTCCGGGAAGAACCAGTCTGGGGAGATCTTCAGTGTCCTAAAGAGGTCTCCAGAGGTCTGAATTATCCTTAGTAAAATCTTGCCAACAGGGAGGAAGGGGACAGAGCTAGCACCACGGTGGCGGGCCGCATGGCCCTGGGAGTCTTCAGAAGCCAGGGACGGGGAGGAGAGTAGCAAGGGAGAGTCCCAGCCGGACCCTGCAGGGAGGCAGCCACCTGAACCACAAGGACCACATTTCAACCTGGTTTGACCCGGCGCCAAGTTCCTGGGCTCTAAAGAGTCGGTCCTGGGTGTGGGCTGAATGGTGTCCCTCCTGCTCTTTGGGTCGGGAGCCCCCCGACCCACAGGGACGTGCTCCAGAGCCCCCGGGGACACCTGGCGCGTGGATGGAGCGGAGCCCGGATAGATGGTGTTTTTCCCGCACGTAGGGACCTGTGGGGAAGTTTGACGTCCAAGCGGCCCAGGAAGAGACAAAGCCCGTCACTAACCATAAAAGGGGAGGATTCGGGGAGGGCGCTAACTCTGTCGTAAGGCACCTGCCCTATCTCTCGGGCTTGTTGGCCGCACTGGCCCCTCTTGTGAGGACGTGAGGGGATGACCCGCCAGGGTGACCAGAGAAAGTGGGGCCAGGAGGGGCACTGACCGCCTGCGGGCCTCCGCCCACGGCAGGTGATGGGAGCTGGGCAGAGTGACACCCCCTGTCAGGGGGACCAGTATGTCCCAGCCAGGAGCAGTTGTCCCTGCCAGGGGGGCATTTGGCCACATCTGGAGATGCTTCTGGTTGTTAGTCTGGGGGAGGGAGGGGTTGGTGGCATCGAGTGGTTAGAGCGGCCTGTGGGGCGGCTGTGCCATGTCCCAGTGGCCCTGCGCACTTGGCAGCCTCCTGGTGCACCCGGCTCCTTTTAGCTGAGACCATAGGTAGCTCGCCCTGCAGCTGTCCTGGGAGGTGCTGGGTGGGCCTTGGCATGCATGGGAGAAGAGGGCTGGGTTTGGGAGGGTGCACAGGAAACGCACCCACTCTGAAATGTTCAGATGGCAAAGTGTCGACGCATTCGTGGGCAGAGGGGACGGGGAATGGGGTGGGAGGTCAGCTCCAAACACCCACCATGTGCTCCACAAACTGGAGGAAGCCCCAGGACCTTCCTGGTGGACTCTGTTCCGTCATCTCCCAGCCAAGGCCACCGGTGGGGGAGTGGTGATGTGCACACAGTGCCCAGGGCGAGTGCTTGCACTCGGAGCTGCTCTCTGCTCCAGAACTCAAGGAGCCCGAGGCAAGCTTCCTCCTCTCCACCTGGCCTGTCTTGCTTTATTCACGCTCACCAGCTGGTGGGTGTCCACTTGGTTTGGTAGGTGGAGACCACTTTGAGGCTCACACTATCCCAGACTTGGTACCCGGAGCCCTCCTGATTCAGCGTCTCTGCCTCTGTTGCTGCTCTAGCTACAGACGCCCCAGCGACAGCGTTGAGCCCAGTAGGGACATCTCTCCGCCCCTAGTCAGCAGGGAGACCTTGCGGAAGATGAGACCTTCCCTCAACAACTTACAGGTTGAAGGGTCAGACGGTTCGGGGTGGGGGGGTGACGTGGGAAACAAAAGCAGAAGAAAAATTAAATTTCCTTTCTCCCTACAGCCCACTGACAAGTCCTCGGAACAGGCAGAGCGACCTTCCTCTAGGGGCTCCGCTGCCTCGATGCTGACACTTTGCTAAGGGCAACAAGCCATTCTGGCCCGACCCCTAGCATCCCGTAAGTCTATTTTAACATAAGGATTTCCTTGGAAATTTCCTTTATGTATCCCAAGACACATGGTGGCCATCATCCCCCCAAGCATATACGCACAGAGCTACTGTTGTGGAAAATCCGAGGTGACCGAGAAAACCCAAAGGGCACACAGAGAGATGGGAGAACACAGCTTTATTAACACCAGTGGGCTCAGTGGGAGCAAAGACTGAGCACCAGACAGGGTTAGGAGTGAGTTTTTATGGTTACAGGCAATGGGGGATGGTAGCAGCGGGGTGTTTTCAAGGTCTCTCAAGGCCTGGACAGTTTCCCAGTTCCCCAAGGCCAAATGGTCCTTTCCTGTGGCAGTATACTCTGTGTGGAGGCATCTCAGGAGAGTGTTAAATCACCCCGGGGGCTGTTGCCCTTTCTTTTCTTATTCAAACAGGACTGGGGATCTGGTCTTTTTCTTCTGTCTCAAAGGAGCAATGACTTGTTATTGTATCTCAGTCAGACCGGATGGACCGGATGGTATTTGGTCTTTTCTTGGCCTTTGCAGGAGCAAAGGGGAGCCAGGGACAGAAAGGGGCTGGAGCCAGGAGTCTCTATCCGCCTCAATAAATCCAAAAGGTCGCAGGACTGAGTTTTCATGGAACAGTAGTGCATGACCCTCTCCTCGCAAAAGCTGCCCCCTCAGGGTCCTGGAAACCTTGTTCCCAAAATACCTGGGAGGCCTGCACTCTCCCTAACCCCTCCCAACTTGGAAGTATATAATGGGCCCCTCCCCAGGAGCCCAGTGCAGCTCTACCTGCCCCCGGTCCCATCCCCGTGCTTTAATAAAACCACCTTTTTGCACCAAAGATGCCTCAAGAATTCTTTCTTGGGCTGTGGGCCCTGAACTTCACCAATATTCCAAAACTGTGTCTAGTAGTCCAGAGAATGAGCCATTTTACAGCGGTCTAATACATTTTCACGTCTTGTAAAAGCTCAATGGATGATAGATCAGCATACAGGTAGGAATCATAAGTTTAATGGCAAGGAATGTGGAGAGTAGAATTGGTCCATATGTTGAGGACAAGATGGTTTTCCTTTAGATGACTCAGTTACACAGCAGGTGTGTGTATGGTAAGCTTGGTGGGCCATAGATCAGGCTTCGGGTTTATTTATTTACTTATTTGTTTATTTTTAAAGATTTCATTTGTTTATTTGACCGAGAGACAGTGAGAGAGGGAACACAAGCAGGGAGAGAGGGAGGGAGAAGCAGGCTTCCCGCCGAGCAGGGAGCCCGAGGTGGGGGTGTACGGGCTTCTTTAGCCAGAGCAGCCCCACCCGGATGAACTACCATTTTGCTCTAAAGCTTAAATTGACCTTGCCGGCCCCGCACCAGGGGAGCTTATTTAAAAGCAAGTCCAGGAAACCCTTCCCAGGTAACTAAGTCTAAATACAAGGGTGGGTCAGGCCAGGGGGAGATGTTCAATCAGTGGGGCGCAGACTGTCTCCTAGCTACCAAGGAGTGTGGGCCCCGCCCTTTGGGCACCTTTTGGGCACCAATTCTGAACGAGGTGATAGGCTGGTTCAAATGTCTACTAGGGTAAATTATAATTCACTTGGTCACCGAGCATCACTGTGGAGTTTCCTGTGTGTGTTACAATCTCATTGGCCGCCTGTGTGCGGCCAGGCCCCACCACATGGCCTTTGCTCTATAAAAGTTAGTCTGGAAAGCAGGGAGGCGTCGTCCTCTCTGTACGGGCGGCCCCGACCGGTCTGATTCCTGATTCCTGATGCTGGGCGCGAAATAAAGCTTTGCTTGACCTTCGCTTTGTATCGGTCTCGCTCCTTTTATCACTGACCCAGTATTGGGGTACCCAATTTTGGGGGGACCCAACAGGGGTCGATCCCAGGATCCCGGGATCATGACCTGAGCCAAAGGCAGATGCTTAATGA